TTCATAGATAGTTAAAAGACAGTTCCATATCCTGATTCCCAGCAATCCCCTAATGTACCCCGAGCCTAATAATCGTTACCGTAGTTATCATATTCATGATCAGGAGCCGGCGAGTCCTGCGTGCAACTAAAAACTCGTGCGATATTAAGTCCCGACACTCATTATCTCATCTCCCTCTTCTCATAATCACCAGGCTTTCCTCTCTCCTCATAATAACCAGGCTTATCTCTCTCCTCACAATCTCATCCCCCTCTTATAATCACCAGGCTTTCCTCTCTCTTCATAATCTCATATCCCTCTCCTCATAATCACCAGGCTTATCTCTCTCCTCACAATCTCATCCCCCTCTTATAATCACCAGGCTTTCCTCTCTCCTCATAATCTCATATCCCTCTCCTCATAATCACCAGGTTTCTTCTCTCCTCATAATAACCATGCAGGCTTTCCTCTCTCCTCATAGTCACCAGGCTATCATATTTCCCTCATAATGTGCAACGCAGGAAATATAATTAGTTCATCGACAGTTTTAGTATTTGTTGAAACTTTTGTTGCGTTCGAAACTGCGTTTGTTTTGCTGGTTCCAGCTTGCCGCTCTACACCCAGAAACATGAACGGGTCAAATCGTCCAAATAGTAACCCGCTTTCTTACCTTCAGCACGAGCAGAGATCCGACGTAGCACTGAAATGCGCCATTTTACCGGGCCAAACTGGTCAGGGTTAACTATGTTGTACAAAAAAGTTAAAAAAAAAGTTTAACCATGTTGTCAAAAGAAGTTAAAAAAAGGATTAACCATGTTGTTCAAAGAAAAAATTTAAAAAGGGTTAACCATGTTGTAAAAAAAGTTTGTTTTTCCAAAAAAAAATGATTAACCATGTTGTCCAAAAAAGGCTTTTTTCCAGAAAGAAGGGTTAACCATGTTTTCCAAAAAAAGTTTGGACAACATCTCACACATTTCTCCGAGTATGAGGTTCGCAGGGATCAGAAAGTCCCGTGGAACAAGATTGTCGTGGCGTCAACTGAAGTGAAAAAAACCTGCCTTCCAAGCCTGCCTAAGTCTAAAGCCAACAAGTGCTCCTCTCATCAAAGGCAACAATTGCTCATCTTATCAAAGACAATAATTGTTCTTCTTTCCAAAGGCAACAATTGTTCTTCTAAGAACAACACAACGGCAAAAGAGATCTGTCGTCTTCAGTAAACAGACTCTACAGTCTTCAACTCTTGCTGTTATAGGAACTTTTGTGTCCACAAACTCATGCTTGCGAGAAGGAATTCTTTAAAGGACTTAATTTTGTACTGATGATTTATAAAGGAGTTGATTTTTAGAGAAAATTTATCAACTGTATTACAGAATTTGCTGGCCCTTACTGATGAATCGTGTAGAATCATACAGAATTTGGGCGCGTATACTGTTGATTTGTCTGGACGTAAATTTATTTGCAGTCACACCGAATTTGTGTATTACCTTCCCTCACCCGTTCATCTCAATCTCCCCTCACCCGTTCATCTCAACCTCCCCTCACCCGTTCATCTCAACCTCCCCTCACCCGTTCACCCCAACCTCCCCTCACCCGTTCACCCCAACCTCCCCTCACCCGTCCATCTCAACCTCCCCTCACCCGTCCATCTCAACCTTCCCTCACCCGTCCATCTCAACCTTCCCTCACCCGTCCATCTCAACCTCCCCTCACCCGTTCAACCTCCCCTCACCGGTTCACCCCAACCTCCCCTCACCCGTTCACCATGTCACCCCTCACCCATTAACGGGTTGCTGGCGTCTGATTTAGGGTGATCATGCGGCGGTGATTATGCTGGTGATTGTTGTCGTACCTGAAGGTAGCGATCAAAAAATATCGTTTGTTTAAAAAAGTATCGATATAACGATATTTTCAAGAAATATCGTTACAATGTCGCCTGTACTCTGCATTGCAGATCTTTTCGGTTCTGCTTGATTAATGTTGTTTCGTTCGTTTGAAAAAAAAATTAAGTAATAACATACAAAACGTAGTTTGTTTTAACGCACATAAATTGATGAAAAATGTGTCAAAATTCTTAAATTAATAAGCTTCGAAATCAAAGGTTTGAGTCATATGCCAAGCCGGTTGATGTAGTCTTCCTACCTCATTGTCTAACATAAGATGTATTTTCATACTAAACATTTATATTATTACAATATTCGTTTAACAATGTTATTTAGTATAATACGCTTAATTGGTTTCTGATGTTAATTTCTTGAGTTGAGTTGAGATGGTTCCTAGAACTGTGAGCGTGACACGTACCCTGCAGCTGCGAAAGTTTGTTTCCAACACGCAAGCATGCGACGAAGATTTTGCGTAATCATGGAAACTGAAGCAAGATTTGGGGAGAATTTTCGCCGTAGAAACATTTTTATCGTGACGGGGAAATTAAGGAAAATATTTACCTCGCGGGAATAGCAACATCACCCACACTACACAGCAACATCGCCCACATCACATAGCAACATCACCCACATCACACAGCAACATCACACACACCACACAGCCACACCACACAGCCACACCACACAGCCACACCACACAGCCACACCACACAGCCACACCACACAGCCATTGTGTTTCCCGTGACGAATTTGCCTATGAAAATCTTCAGTAGTTTCCCGTGATGAATTTTCCTATGAAAATCTTTATGTGTTCCCCGTGACGAATTTGCCTATGAAAATCCATGTGTTTCCCGTGACGAATTTGCTTTCCCGTGACGAATGTCCTTTTAAAAATTCAATTGAGCAACAGGTCAGGCAGCCGTACCCTGAAGACTAAGTTCAGCGAATTCATGGGTAATAAAGAAAATTTTTCTAATTTTGTGTGTGTCTTAAAGAAAGTTTCTTATTTTCTGCTTTATAAAAATAGATATTGTTAATCATATGGGCGAAATAGCGAACATTTTATTTGTTTCTTTTCTGTTGTTTCGTCTTTTTTTCACCGTCTAGCGTAGAAAATATATCTTTTATTTGTATAATGTATGTCACAAAGTGAATATAATAGTGAAGCTTTAATTTTTTAGAGAGATTCTGGATTCTTTACGTCTTGAAATGTATATGCGTCTTATTTAAAAACTTTATTACGCGCCTTGAATTAACTATATCGCAAAATATAATCAGAAACGACAGAAGACAAAAATTTCTGTCTAAGACCCGATATTGATGAGAACAGACGCCATCTGCAGCGCTTGATTTTGGGTTCGAGATTCCACAGCGAGACGCGTTCCGAGGGCCCCCCTCGATACTGTAGTGCCAGACATGAAACTGTCAGACATGAAACTGTGAGACATGAAACTGTGAGACATGAAACTGCCAGACATGGAACTGCCAGACATGAAACTGTCAGACATGAAACTGCCAGACATGGAACTGTCAGACATGAAACTGTCAGACATGAAACTGCCAGACATGAAACTGCCAGACATGAAACTGTCAGACATGAAACTTCCAGACATGAAACTGTGAGACATGAAACTGCCAGACATGAAACTGTCAGACATGAAACTGCAGACATGAAACTGCCAGACATGAAACTGTGAGACATGAAACTGCCAGACATGAAACTGTCAGACATGAAACTGTCAGACATGAAACTGTACGACATGGAACTGTCAGACATGAAATTGTCAGACATGAAACATGTCACGAAAAAGGAACATTTCTGAATTTTTTATTTTAATTTTAATTATTTGGCATCATGTATACTAGACTTTCAAGATACTCATTTTATTAATTTATGAAATATATGAAATATCAATTATAATTTTTAATTTTTACAATCATTGCTATAATGATCACTTACATTCATTGCAAATAATTCATTCAGCTAAAACAACAACAAGCAAGAATGTATAGAGACCGCCAACGAACGTTGTTTGAACAACACAACAAAACAAACAAATAACAAATTCGAATAACACAAGGAAACAAATAAATAAGAAGTTTAAACAACACAACGAAACAAATAAATAACAATTTTAAACAACACAACAAATAAATAAATAACAATTTGGACAACACAACAAAGAAATAACAAATTTAAAAAACAAAACAACAAATTCGAAAGCACAAGAAATTAAGTAAATAACAACTTTGAACAACACAAAAAAAAGCAACAAGCTCGAACCACAAAACAAATAAATAACAAGTTTAAATAACAACAAATCTAGAACTGGCGTCCAAGGAAGATGTCGTCCATCGCGGCGACGACACGTCAGGGACGCCTTACTGGGGACTTACGGGACGACTGACGTGCTGCACGTCACTGCCTGACACGTGACTGTAGCTGACGTGATGCACGTCACTGCCTGACACGTGACTGTAGCTGACGTGCTGCCGTCCATGCCTGACACGTGACTGTAGCTGACGTGATGCACGTCCCTGCCTGACACGTGACTGTAGCTGACGTGATGCACGTCCCTGCCTGACACGTGACTGTAGCTGACGTGATGGTGCCGACTATTAAACAATGAATAATAACATTCAATTGTCAAATTTAACTCCGGAAAATTGCTGTAAAATTTACAACGTTCGGACGATATCTGTAATAGATGTAAATAGAAACTCATAAGTTTTCATAAGATTTTCACCAAACTTGGAACAAGAGCAGGACTGTAAGAAGGACAAACGTGATCCTGTGTCCCAATTCCTACATGAGAGAGCGCTGGATGCAGAAACTCATAAAAATGTTTAAATATATATTTTTTAAATTACTTTTTTGTCTGGAACGGAAAGAAAAGGTGAATTAAATACTGACAAATGTGTCGGTGTTGCAGATGTGGTGGTGGCGGGTGGTGCTGGTGGTGATGACATGTGTTGGTGTTACAGATGTGGTGGTGGAGAGTGGTGCTGGTGGTGATGACATGTGTTGGTGTTACAGATGTGGTGGTGGCGGGTGGTGCTGGTGGTGATGGCATGTGTTGGTGTTACAGATGTGGTGGTGGCGGGTGGTGCTGGTGGTGATGGCATGTGTTGGTGTTACAGATGTGGTGGTGGCGGGTGGTGCTGGTGGTGATGGCGCTGCTGGGGCTCCTGCTGCAGGTGACACAAGGGGCGCGCTACCGCAAGCCGCCCTTCAACGGCTCCATCTTCGGCAAGCGCGGCGCCCCCTTCACTTGTGAGTGGGGGGGGGTGTGGTGGTTAAGGGGTGGTGCATGGGGAGGTACAATTTGGGGGTAAAGGCATTGGTGCAGACATGTTATTAGTAAAGGTTACCTATGAATCACTTGAGAAATAGTCTTACGGGATCTTCGTAACTGTCTTAGGACCGTACTATCTGAACTCATTTAAGTACATGTTGGGGCCTAAGTACATGTAGTGGCCTAAGTACATGTAGCGGCCTAAGTACATGTAGCGGCCTAAGTACATGTAGCGGCCTAAGTACATGTAGTGGCCTAAGTACATGTAGCGGCCTAAGTACATGTAGCGGCCTAAATACATGTAGGGGCCTAATTAAGTAGGTACGTACGTAGGGACCTAGGTATAAGTAGCGGTCAATTCTAGTCTGTGATTGGTGGGTGGTCATGTTGAAATTCCATCAGTGATTGGCTGACGGAGTTATTAACTCGTAACGATTTTTGATAATACGGCCCTTATTCTTCTCTTATATTATGAGGCTTGTTACGTAGCTCTGGCGGCTGGAAGACTTAAGTTGTTGGTTGAGGTCAATACACGGCGGTTTCTTCTATCTCAGTAAAGAATAAATAGCGTATGACCTTATCATTATTATTTAATACCAAATATTAACACAATAACATTGTGTTAATACATGTAGCGACCTAAACTGTAACACAATAACATTGTGTTAATACACCATACACCTCCTTCCCCCCTTACAGTAGACGACGCGCCCCCCATGGCGTCGGTGTGTCGCGTGGCACTGGAGGCGTGCGCCGCGTGGCTCCCCGACACGGATCAGGAGTGAGGGACCCTGGCGAACCCCTAGGACCTCGGCGAACCCCTAGGACCTCGGCGAACCCCTAGGACCTCGGCGAACCCCTAGGACCTCGGCGAACCCCTAGGACCCCTTCCCCGGTATCGGTCCCCTCTCGCGTACCCCCACTTCGGTCTCGGTCGCTCCGCGTGGCTCCCCGACACGGATCAGGAGTGAGGGACCCTGGCGAACCCCTAGGACCTCGGCGAACCCCTAGGACCCCGGCGAACCCCTAGGACCTCGGCGAACCCCTAGGACCTCGGTGAACCCCTAGGACCTCGGTGAACCCCTAGGACCTCGGCGAACCCCTAGGACCTCGGCGAACCCCTAGGACCCCTTCCCCGGTATCGGTCCCCTCTCGCGTACCCCCACTTCGGTCTCGGTCGCTCCTCGCGTACCCCCATTTCGGTTTTGGCCGCTTCCAGGCGACCCCAAGCTGTCATTTGAATATTTCTGGAGTTACTTAATTTCGGTGGAAAACCTAGGGTAACTGTTAGGGTAACAGGGTTGCCCATAATATAATATCTATAATAATTTACCCTGATGTTCAGGGTGGAAATTGTCGGGGAATTGTGGCGGCCAAAAAAGCGCCAAAGATTCAAATTATGGATAGGGTGATTGCTATAATAATTTATTCATCATTGGCCTTTTTGAAAGTTATGAATTAGAATTATCTTTTTCAATTGTAAAATCAATATTTATTTAATTAAAATGTCCAAGCTTGCTCCAGATCATTCCCTTCACAAGACTACACCTGTCGCAGTTTGCTGGTTAATAACGAAGTGTTGGTTAACCTGCTAAGCCTAACCTAACCTAACCCGTTCACATCAAATAATGTCAATCTGCTTGCTTATATCTTAGCAAAGGTCCATTATTTGTATCAGGTTCTAGGTTTTCTTTGTAACTTTGCCGGAAATATTAATGTCAATAATGACGGCAGCATTAACTACATTCCATCGAACTCAACTATAATATACAGGCAAACGACATGAGCAATATCAACTGTACTGTTACGTATTACAATTCTCCAGAATTGACCAAAATAAAAATGTGAGGCACTTGTCTTATTATGTGAAACAAATTGCAATTTATTATTATTATTAATTAAAAATATTATTATTATTATTAGCAAACACATCAATAATGCTTTGTCTCTCCACTCTGACCGATCTTGAACAGAGAAGTGGGACGTTTGACTAACAAACTATTGTACGCGCGAATGAACTAAACTTTAATTTTTATATAGAAAAAAGACATAGATTATAATGTTTTTTTTGGGAGAAAAGAAATATATGATAGTATGATAGAAAATCTTATATATGACATATATGATAGAAAATCTTTTGCTCATACGCAAGATGTAGAAATTTTTATTTACAAAAGAAATATCTAAATTCCGGACAAAAGTTTTCATAAAGAGGAAATGAATTTCAAATAATTGTTTACATATAGGAAGAAAGATCGAAATATAAATAAGTATCTATCTAGAAGGACAAATGACCACAAACTCACTTATTAAAGCTGTGCGATTAAGCAAAAAATAAGAGAAGAGAGGACAAAAGATTCTGCAATCGACATAACAAATATTTGATGCCAGGCATAATCAATGCAATTTTGCTTTTGATAGTTTAATTAAAAATATTTTAAGGTATGAATATCGCAGCATTGAGAGAAACTTTTTGTTCTGGTCAATAAACTGAAGGCAAAACTAAAGCACACTTAATTATTTGTCGAGTTAATTGCCTTACTGACGCAGTCAAGTGACCTGCCTTACTGACGCAGTCACTGAGGGAAGTGGCAGCGCTCAGGTCATGCCATCGCTGAGGGAAGTGGCAGCGCTCAGGTCATGCCATCGCTGAGGGAAGTGGCAGCGCTCAGGTTAGGTCATGCCACCGCTGAGGGAAGTGGCAGGCAGGTCATGCCACCGCTGAGGGAAGTGGCAGGCAGGTCATGCCACCGCTGAGGGAAGTGGCAGGCAGGTCATGCCACCGCTGACTTATTATTCAAATTTCCTCGCTCATTTGTGCTTCCAAATTCCAAACGACAAATTTGATCTCACACGTGGGGGCAAATTTGCTTGTTTTGTCCATAAAATTCACCTTTTCGCCGCTGCCAAGTCGGCATAATACGATTGCTTTTCCGCCAGGCAAATTCCATTACAAGCGAGGACGATTTTTGCTGGAAACTTTCTTAGTTCTGCTTCACCAATCGTAAGCTTAACGCGGGAATGAAAACTTTTTGTTTGAAGATGAATTTTACGTTTTAATAAGAACTTCACGTTATGATGAGAACTTAACAACGATATGATAACTTTTCGTCAAGTGAGAACTTTACGTTAAAATGAGAACTTTGCTTCGAAATGAGAATTTTGAGTCAAAATGAAAACTTTACGGCGAAATGAAAACTTTGCGTCAAAACGAGAATTTTGCGTCAAATTGGGAACTTTACTTTGAAATGAGAACTTTGCGTTGAAAAGAAATTAACTGTTGCAATGAAATGAAGGTCTCACATCTAATTGAAAACATTACGTCAAAAACAGAAATTGCGGATTGTCCGCGGGTAAAATATAAAATTAAACAACTTGGCAAAATCTTCAAGATAACCTCGGTTTAAAACCTATTGAAAAATACACAATTAACAATATAATTATAATAGTAATTAAAAATGTGCGCCATATCCACGGATTCAAACTTATGGAGCGGCAGACAGGAACTTGCGTCTCAGCAAGGATAAAAGTAACGCCAGAATAGCTGTTCTTTGAATTGGAAAATTACAATCCTTGGATGCTTTTAGACATATTTGTGGATCTAAGCAATAACTAAGTATATTCATAGCGTGCAATGTTCACGAAGCAGGTACAAAGGTTATAAGCTTAAATGCTTTGTACTGACAACATGTAAGTAATTTGTGCCAGGTGTACTAGTTCTATAACTTCAGAACTCATGCCTACGTACGGCGCCGGTTCTACGTATTTACCGGCTGTGTATCTGAAATATGAAAGACAAGAAAGATCGAGCATGAGCAAGAAACAAAGACAAGTAAAAATGACAGGATAGACCGTGAGATATGAAAAGAATTAAAGATAGATAGATAATAATGATAGAAAATATTGATAACCCAAGGCTTCGGTAAAAGAGCTGCACGCGTACCTCGTAAAAAGTAATTTCCTGCTTAACATTGTAATCTTCTTATGGTCGGTAAGCTGCCAAGTCGATCGTAATCATTTACAAACTCGTCGATAAATGTCCATTCTATTTCGAATAGATAAAACTGACTTAAAAATGCTCTACACAAGCACAGTTTCAAAACCTACTTATTGATGCATTACTCATACCAAACTCTGAGTGGCAGACCCAACGTCGTTGGGTCCAAATAAAGACCCAACACCCATTATTATGAGGTCAAAGCACCATAATAAATCGCGTTAGTATTCGGAATTGTAGTGGCCGCCACTAGTCACCCCGTGTAGGAACACTTTTACGGTAAGACGTAACTGGAGACACTGAGTGGTTCTAACACGCCAGCTGCGTGAGTCAATATATTATACCGTATTATACTGAACAATATAATAGAACTATTGGAATAAGTTCAGGACTATACGGTTCTGTACGTCCTCTCAACCATTATCAGTTATTACCGAGAATGATGGAAGGGATGACGAATTTGGAATTAGAATTTTAAGATTTAAGCATAAAAATAAAGATGAAATATATGATACAGCACAATAGACAAACATGAATTCTGCTTTACCGGTCAAGCGTCCGTGTTAATATGACAAATAATGAAATGTAGGCACCAAAGTCCGTAGACTTTATAAATTCGAATATATTCTCGGGCTGCCTGATTAACTACGAGAGATAAACTGGGAAATTATTCCAGTTCCAGCCAGTCCGTCAAAATAAGGTTAATTATTATAAAAGTAATAATAATAATAATAAATATTAATAATAATAATAAAAATAAAAATAATAATAACAATAATAATAATAATAATAAAAGCGTTCCAGCGTTTATTATGCGGTAGTCCTGTCACGGATCCCTAACATCGCAGAACATCCAAAGCTTGTTGCGGTCTCGAACTCGCAACTCACTGCTACAATTCTGCTGTGCTTAACCGCCCGGCCCCCTTGCCGATTCTGACCAGAAACTGGCGCACAGAGCTGGGATCGAACTACTGCGATCCTGGTACTCTGAACTGTCACCAGTGGATCACCCAGCACTTGAAATTAATTTATTAAACTTTCTTTAGCAGGCCATTTGAAGGTCATCATCAAAGTTTCAGACTGAGGGCCATTTAAAAAAAATCAGCGTTTGATTTAAGTGAAAAAATACTGCGGGAACTGTCCCCATACCTATACACCCACGCAACCTAAAGGCGCTCAGACAACGCCGTCACCCATCAAATCTTCTGTCAAATAATATAATAAATGTATAATAAGAAATTTGAGTGGGCTAAAGTGATGCTAAATAAAACTTACAAGTTTATTTGCATACAAAATTGGCGTTATTAATTTTAAATTAATTCACCCGAGCATGATGCAGCAGGTTGATCGCTTGGAGTTGACATTAGATGATAAAATTATTCTTTATAAATAAGTGATAGAGTAAGGAAAAATAAGTTGATCTCTTAGGAATAAATAATAACCTTATTTCATCTTTCTTGGTATTGACACGTAGGCATATAAACTTGCCACGGCACGTAGGCATATAACTTATAAACTTGCCACGGCACGTAGGCATATAAGCTTGCCACGGCACGTAGGCATATAACTTATAAACTTGCCACGGCACGTAGGCATATAACTTATAAACTTGCCACGGCACGTAGGCATATAACTTATAAACTTGCCGCGGCATATTGTAGTAGTTTCCTCAGCAGACGCCACACTAGTACAGTGCAGCGTTAGTTGCAGTTTCCTAGCTTGCTGAGCTATAATTGGGCGAGGAGGTTCAATAATTTAATAACAGGTTCACAGAATTAAATTTGACACCAAAGGAAAAAATGTGCAATAATTATTGAATCTGCACAAAAACATAAGAAATTAATACAGAATGGAGCTCTTGCGCGGTTATGATATATGAAAAACAAATAAGTCAATGAAACACACTAGTAAAAAATAATGCACTAGCGAATAATGAAATAACTATGAGCAATTAACAGGTAACTGAGAAAGACTAAACCACCAATACTGGCCGCGGTCACATCAATAGTGGTTCAATGGTTCAATGAGCCTAAAGTATATCTCAAACGGATGAACGCAGCTCGATACAACTGTTCACGCGTGTTCATTAGAATCTAATTACGATGATACGATGATGTTTAGCGGTGATCATTTTTTTCGAGGTCGCCTTCGTTTGTCAGCCACGGGGCAATACGGGCCAAAATTCATAATGAGCCTAATATATCTTCTATCCCACGGTGCAGACATGAACAAAACTCTGAATATGCATTCACAACTACATAACAGTGATGTTTAGTGGTGATTTTTTTGTCTATTTCGCCTTGGTTCGCGAATTATACGGTTATACGGAGAAACAACCGACATTTCTGAGGCCGATTGTAAAATATGCAGTGAGCCTAAAATAACTCCCAAACCAGTAACGCAGCTCGATGAAACTTTGCACATGCTTATATTATGCCATAGCGGTGATGTTTAATCTAAGTTTATTTTTTCGATGTTGCCTTCATTTCCAAGTTATGCGGTAAGTTTCGTTCAAATCTGCACAGTTGGAAAACCGACACTCATGGGCTCACTGCGAATTTTGGACCGTATGGACCGTATAATTTGGAAACGAAGGCGAAATCTAAAAAATGATCACGACCTAAACATCGTTGTTAGTTTCTAATTTTTATTTCACTGCGTTTTATTTACTGTTTTATTTTACTGCGTTCATTAGTTCTGAAAATATTTTAAGCCCACCGAACCTTGCAGACCGGCCGCACGACAGGCCGGAAAAGTATCCGGCCTTGAAATGAACCTTAAAGCGTTGAGAATTTAAAAAGAAGATTATTTATAAGTTACGGGTGTTGAAGAAGCAAGCATGCTGGTGCTAAAAAAAATTATTGAACCAAGGATTGGCCTGGCATATTGTAGCGTTTAAGATGGTCCTAGACTGCTGTGAATTGAAAGAGAAAGCTCATCCCCAGCGACCTTCATAAGCTATCGGAATATAGTGATTGAATTTCACGACAAAGCTATGCGAACCAAGTGCTTTTACAAGTGATAAAACATCGTGGTGTAAGAAGTTGGGATAGGAACCCGGAAACAACAACAAAAAATACGGTATTCGCTTACACAATATTTTTTCATATTCAAAGAACCTTTTCATGTTAATATCATTGAACGCAAACAAATCAAAGGAATTGTAATATTTGAATATATTTTGGGTTAAATTTAATTTAATAATGGAAATTTATTTATGTCGGCCTCCCACACTTCTATGACAAAAACTTCTTGAACATGCTAGAAAAGGCTCACGAAATAGGTAAAATATGTTAATTTGAGGACCTTTCCACCACAATTTACCCTAAGAGAGTAGGGACTTCCTATTTTTAAATCGTCCTAGCGTTTTATACCTGTCAACGATGTTAAAATTCATTTTCAATCCCTTTGCTTCATTTATCTGAAATAAGTGATTCAATATGCTTTTAAACTAATAAAAATCAATATATGATTAAAAATTTTCAGAATAATCACATAACTAATCTGAATTTATATAGAACTGTACCCCGTTGAAGCTTGAAGGATTTGTTTCCTAACACACCCACACGTAAATTAAAATTTTGAGGCTAGTGAAGAAGATTTTAGTATAATACTATCAAAAGTGCAATCATATCATCATTGCAACTGAGACTTTCAACCAGGTGTCAAATTTTGCAAGGCAATTGTTCGTCTAAAATTTAGGGTAAGTTTTTAGCACTGTTTATGTTGGGGTACTGAAAATTATCCGTTCCGAGGCGTGACTCAACGGAACGTCAGGTAGAGCGAACCTCGTGCTTCGGACTCATACAGAATAATGACTGAGGCACAATTAATTTTCGATGATTATGGCAAGCCCATTATTGTTGTTAGAGGTCAAGAAACCGAAAAACGATTGACTGGAAATGATGCAATCAAGGTGAGGTTTCTATATCTTGATTTTGTATGTCACTGAAATTATAATGTAACTGTTGTGTGTTGAATTTTACCGGCATCTGCTCGATTATCTGTACCTTTCACTTTGCCTTTGTTGAAAGCATTATCTCGTGTACCTTTTTTTCATTGGCTAAATTGTGCATGTTTGATATTTTTTTCGAAATTTTGCAATCGAAAAGCTCTAAGTTGAAGAAATGATCCGACTGTCCTGAATTCAAAAATTAATGTGAATATAAACTACCTAGCTACCTACTCATTGCAATTTGCGAGATCAAAACAAACTGTTTTTCTTTGTGCTCTGGCTTAGCTCCTAAGCTCAGACTCTACATCATCTACAATGAAAGAGGAGGTCTTCAGAGTGCTGTTAGTAATGGATGAGTACACTCTGCATGCTTCAAATGTTTTTAAATGAAGTTTTATTCCAAGTGTCCCGATTAGCCTCGTTCGACGGGGCTACTCGGGACAGTGACACTCTTTTTTTTGCTTCTGGCACCTTACAAATAGCATATGGATTTTTTTTGGAGAAGCCAATAGATAGTTCTTGCAAAGAGCTTTGAAATGAGCCTAAACTTGTTTATGAAATGTTTCATGGTAAGAAGATATGAATGAAAAACATTTGAAATCTTCCCGAGTAGCCCCGGTTGACATAGTGGCAATTGGCAAAGCAGAGAGTTTTTTTAGACTCTCCCTCAAGTTCATTTCTGAGTCCTATAAGTAGACCAGTAAAGTATCTTGGATACGGTACCAGAATTATCATACATAAGAAATCTGTTAAAATCTTGAGTACCTAAATGAGGAAATTAAAAATGAACTGATTCTGAAAAATCACTGGTTTGCCGCTATGCCGGTTAACGGTATTTTTAAATACATGCATATGGAATCTTGCAGCTCATCATGCATTTATGTTGATAATTAGATACAAGGTAATTCATCTAACAAAAATATTGTGGGTCTTAAAATAGCAGGAAAGCTGCATTTGTGGCTCAAAAAGTGTTGCACTACCTCAGTCTACCTGTCTATGAGCACATACTATTTTGAATCTGACATTTAGTCTATAAATAATAATAAGAGTAGTTCTCACTTCACATGAAATTTAGCTAGCTAGGGAAAACATACTTTCAAAGTAGCAATACAGATTTATTGCAAAGAGAGAAGAAAAAAAAAACATTTTAGTTGCAATTTTAGAGTAAAATTCAAGATATGAATTACAGACCATGGTGTTATTTATTGTTTTCCATGGCTTAGAAAATGGATTAATAATTAAAAAATCAAAATTATGACTCCAAAAACTCATAGCTTGGAAAGTAGATCTCCCCACCTGCTTGACTGCTTGAGCATACATTTTAGTTGGTAAGTAATAAGACTGAATGCAATGCTTGAATCTGAACTGAACTGAAGACTGAATGCAATGCTTGACTGAATCAATGCTCAACTGAATGCAATAATTTTTAATGGCATCAACTTGTATGATTTTTTTTTTCAGTCACACATCCTGGCTGCTCGGTCAGTGGCATCCATCCTGCGCACATCTCTGGGGCCTAAAGGCCTTGACAAGATGATGGTGAGTTCTGATGGTGATGTCCTCATCACCAACGATGGTGCCACAATCCTGAAGCGCATGGATGTGGAGCATGAGGTTGCCAAGCTCCTTGTGCAGCTCTCACAGAGTCAGGATGACGAGATTGGTGATGGAACTACTGGAGTTGTAGGTGAGCAATTGTTGATGCTAAGCTTTTAGATGGATCACAGAAATATTTGCTGTAGGTTGAAAATTTAAAGTCTAAAACTTTCTTTAGAAAAAAGTGAGGTTTGATATTTTGACTAATAACTTCATTGAAAATGAAATTAACTATCCAGTTAATTTCATTTATTTCATTAGTTTGGCTGTAAATATATTTTGGTGCATAATTTCATTTTTAATTTCCTCTATACATGTTTTTTTATTTTTTTATGCTTAACTTTATAAATTGCATTTATTACTAGATTTGTGTATCTTAGATTGAAATTATTTTTGCATAAATGATCAAATGTATCTTCGTCAGGTGCCAACAATTTTCCATACTAGAGGGCCTATATTTTAAAATTGGGAAAGCTCAAGATTATCCATAATACTTTGCTTCAGTACTTGCTGGGGCTCTCCTGGAGAAGGCTGAAGATCTGCTAGACAAGGGAATCCACCCTATCCGCATTGCTGATGGTTACGAGAGTGCAGCACGTGCTGCCAGTCAGCATCTTGACGCTATAGCCGAGCAGTATCCTGTTGACCCACAGAACCTAGAGCCTCTCATCCTGACTGCCATGACCACACTTGGATCAAAAATTATCAACAGGTTGGGGAAATTGTATAGCCCTTGTCAAACTATCTCTTGTTAGAGCATTGAGCTCATATTATGCGCTTTTATATTATGAACAGGTTGCTATTTATTAGTACACTTATCGAGCAATCTCATGTTGAGTATTTACAAGCCTTACTTTGCAATGATTAAATACCTATGTGGAAAAGCTCCCGAGTTCAATAAGAAAATAATGTAAATGACAAAATCACGTTTTTTGACAAATCACCATTTTGACGCTGTCAAAATGGATGGCTTTTGAATTAAATTATTCTAAATGGTTGTTGTCCTGCTGTCTCTAGTGAAAAGTCTTGTCAAAAAGTTCATTGTTCATTAATTGATAACGGGTACTCGTTGCTTTGTTCAATGATATAACTTGTATAATGGTGAGATCAAGGCAATTTGCTTTTAAATTGATGCCATTGATACTTGAAATTAATAGGTTATAGTAGTACATGTTTAAATATGAAACTGAGATTAACACTATAATAATGAAGGAAAATTCTTTAGATTGAAAATTAAGTTTCAACTTCATTTGTTTGCTTTTGCATCTCCTAATAGAAAAACTTGTGTAAAATAGGGTTTTTAAAGGGCATCAATAACTGATGCTGGTCATTTAATTCCTGTTTCTTATCCGGCATTCCATTGTTCAGATGCCACCGTCAGATGGCTGAGATTGCAGTTGACGCTGTGATGTCAGTTGCAGATCTAGAAACTCGAGATGTTAACTTTGAGCTCATCAAAGTTGAAGGCAAAGTTGGAGGCAAGTTAGAAGACACGCGACTAGTTCGAGGTGTGGTTGTTGACAAGGACTTCTCGCACTCACAAATGCCCAAGGAATTAAAGGATGTAAAAATCGCCATCTTGACATGCGCGTTTGAACCGCCCAAGCCCAAAACCAAACACAAGCTCGAGGTCTCCACTGCTGACGAGTACCGCGCGCTGCACAAATATGAGCAGGAGACCTTCGTTAAGATGGTTGACCAGGTCAGTCCCTGCATGAGTCCTACAACAGCAAAAAACTTCTTCAATGATAACTTTGTACCATTAAGAATTTCAATTGACCCTATTAGCGAGTGGTTGTTCCTCATAGGGTGCTAAAAATAACTAGCCTCTACCCTCTAACCAGGTCTAAGGTCCTGATTGCTTCACAATTCCTTACTATCATGAAGTCCCATCATGTAAAATGGCTCTGCATTTATGTTAAAAAGATGGTTACTATTGTAGCACGCAGCAGCGATGTTTACTATGAGAGGAAATAATCTTCTTGCTGTGTTACCTAGGGAGCTGTGGTGTATCACCTAGATGTTGTGGCACTGGACATGGCATCACTGATTACGTTCTGTCTTTGGCATCTTGGATTTGCCTCATCCTATTATAAATTATCACACAATTGCGGCCTCATGTTTACGTTAGTTCTTTTCTTTACCTCTTCTCAAATGTAACTTCCTGCTTCTTTGATCGTCAATTTAAAAACATCTATTTGTCAACTAATATATATTCTACCTCGTTGCTCGTGACTATATGGCCCATTGAAAACTGCCTTTCCATGAATAAATTCCTTAAGACGCGGTTTTCTTTTCAAATACATAAGTTTCATGCAGTGCCTACTTCTGGGAATTTTGTGTTCTGACTCTTTCTCCTTATGACATAAGAATTGGGCGCACACTTTATTCAAATTCCATTTTCATACTTTATATTCTTCATCCTGAACATACCACAAACTGTAGCATTTATTTTGCACCTGGTAAGCTATTTCACGAGTAAAGCCATTTTGACTTGCAATTTTTTCTATTTTACTCAATTTAATTAGAATTCTTACTGCCCACTCTATCCTGGGCATGATAATTCACACAAGAAATGTTGCTCAGGTGATCGCAGCTGGCGCAACACTGGCCATCTGTCAGTGGGGTTTTGACGACGAAGCCAACCACCTGCTGCTGCAGAAGGGCCTGCCTGCCGTCCGGTGGGTGGGAGGCCCCGAGATCGAACACATCGCCATAGCCACGAATGGACGCATCGTGCCGCGCTTCGAGGAGCTCACGCCTGAGAAGCTTGGCACTGCTGGCTCAGTCAAGGAGATCAGCTTCGGCACCACCAAGGTCAGTTCTGGCACCACCAAGGTCAGTTCTAGCACCAGCAAGGACAGTTTGTTACCCATAAGGTACTTTTTGGCTACACCGAAGTCAGTTCTGGCACCACCAAGGTCAGTTATAGCACCACCAAGGTCAGTTCTAGCACCACCAAGGTCAGTTCTAGCACTACTAAGGCCATTTCTCTCCCAACCAAGGCCGCACCATTGTACATTTGTGACTCTGACTGAGTGACTTGGCATGAAATTATTGGTCGATGTGGTGCTACTTGAATTTAATTCACCGCTATTGTTATTTGTTCTTTAAATCATTATAGTAACTTGAATGATGTGTTGAATGGACGTGCAGGATACGATGCTGGTGATCGAGGGCTGCCCCAACTCGCGCGCGGTCACCATCTTCATCAGAGGCGGCAACCAGATGATCGTGGACGAGGCCAAGCGCAGCATGCACGACGCGCTCTGCTCCGTGCGCAACCTCGTGCGTAATGACAAGGTCGTCTACGGCGGCGGTGCTGCTGAGATCAGCTGTGCTCTCGCCGTCGCTGCTCAGGCCGATAAGGTGGGGACAATGCTGCTGTCTGTAGTGGGGGGACAATGTTGCTGTCTGTAGTGTGGGTACAATGCTGCTGTCTGTAGTGGGGGGACAATGTTGCTGTCTGTAGTGTGGGTACAATGCTGCTGTCTGGAGTGGGGGAGAACGTTGTTACACGTAATGTGGGTATAATGCTGCTGTCTGTAGTGGGGATAATGTTGTTACACGTAGTGTGGGTCTAATGCTGCTACCCGTAATGTGGGTACAATGCTGCTGTCTCTAGTGTGGGTATAATGCTTCTGTCTGTAGTGGGGGACAATGTTGCTACCTGTAGAGTGGGTCTAATGCTGCTACCATGGGTACAATATGGCTGTAAGAGATAGACCGTTACCTTGAGTTCGATAAGGGACATGCATTGTTTGGGTGGCGATGGGCAGCTTATTTCCCTGGACACCATCACGGGAATGCTAAAGGTTATGATTGTGATCCAGCACTGATGTCAGCATTTCTGTCTATTTGTTTGGGTTGAAGCTTCATTAACCTTTAACAGCCGCGACCACACCGCAGAGCGAATGGATGACATAACTTTTTCTTGGCCTTGTTGAACCTAAACTCAAGAGAGGTGAGATGGACTGTAATTGTCGGAACTGGATTGATTAAACGAAATTTTTACCGTGGAATTTAGTTTTTTTTTGTTTCAGTCTACAACTAACACGTTGACTCCGAAGTGGTACATATGCGTACTACGAAATGTATTTCTCCAGGACGTAGTGGTACATAATTCTGGTTGCCTAAAATCGGCAAATCCGAGAACAAAAAAGGCTGATAACTCAATATACACTAGTTTATTTGTAGGTTCCGCTATAAAAATTCCATTTATTTTCTTTTTGCAGTTTTAACATTTAATTATGAAGTACCTAGCGCTATCATAAATTTTAGCCGGCCAACGCAATTGAGAAAAACTAAATCACGGAATTTGTCCGGAAAAAATGACCGTCTGGCAACCCTGTTTGAAAACAGTACAAAAATAAAAGAATGAAATAATAGTACAAGATGAAGCAATCGGAGTCAACGTGTTAAACAATTGGTTACATCTAAGCTGGTTGCTCAACATCTGAAGCGTTAGCTGATGAGTAAATTTATGTTCATTCATCTTGTATATATTTGAGATATTGAAGAGCATCAACATGAGAAGTCGTGTAATTCTGTATCTATACGGTAGCATTATTTTGGTAGATCAAACAAAAAAAATGTAACGAAGTAACTACAGTTAGATTGAGTGTAATTGCTAATTAACCTCAACTGTTACTGGCAACGAAATTAATGGTAATTGTTCATTTGCAGATCTGCACGCTGGAGCAGTACGCATACAGAGCGTTCGCTGACGCCCTGGAGGTGATCCCCATGGCACTGGCGGAGAACTGCGGCCTGTCGCCCATAGACACGCTCACCGAGGTCAAGTCCATGCAGCTCAAGACCGGCAACACCGCCCTCGGCATCGACTGCGTTGGTGCCGGCACTCTCGGTGCGTCGAGTGGCACTTGATAATGGAGTGGCGTCTGGCACTTGATAATGGAGTGGCGTCTGACACTTGATAATTGAGTGGCGTCTGGCACTTGATAATTGAGTGGCGTCTGGCACTTGATAATTGAATGGCATCTGGCACTTGATAATTGAGTGGCGCCTAACCTGTCCGAAGCATGGACATTGGCTTAAAAAAGTTGTTCCAAAACTAGCTTGAAGGTTCAAATTTTTTCTTTACGACCCTGCGAACCCGGGATTGACAGAAATTAAGTGAAATTAAGACAGAAATTAAATTGATTTCATTTCTAAACGTCCGAGTTTGAATTACAGGTGTTGGAGAACGAACTAGAATTAGAAATAATTGACTTATTTTCTTGGAACAGTTACTGTTAATTATGATGATTGTACAATGTACATTGTTTCCGTTTAGTTATTACGTCTGCAATTACTTTTTTCTTGTCTGTTATTGTGCAAGTGCAACTTTGCTTTATTTGCGGCGAACTTATATCTTAGGGGCAATGCATGACAACAACGATGAATCTAGAATATCTAATTAGGTTCTGGATATTATCGCCCTGATGTCATATCATATATAAACTGATGGCAATATCATGAACGTTAAATAATAAGTTCTAACAAGTTGATGATGATCCTGTTTATGACACTAGTGATAATTAGAACAGCTACGAGGCCATCGTATTGGTAAGGACCAGGGGCCGTATTATCCCAAAAATAGTCGAGTTCGTTACTCCGTTAGCCAATTACTGACGGCTTCCTAAGCTAAATTCACTAATCACAGACGATAAATTTACCGCTACCTCTGCTTGGGTCGCTACGTGTACTTAAGCTAGTTTTAATAGTATGACCCAGTATACTGATGACATGATGTGTTACAGACATGAAGGTGCAGCACGTGCTCGAGTCGCTGCACAGCAAGAAGCAGCAGATCCTGCTCGCCACGCAGCTCGTCAAGATGATCCTCAAGATCGACGACATCCGCACCACGCAACCCGGCGGCGAATAGCACTTGTTCCCCCGGCATCCGTTCCCGCACTCCTCACTATTACGGATTTCTTAATGATCATTCATTTTGTTTCGTCTCCGCTTCATTACAATTTAGTATCTCTTTACCATTTATTTCATTGGCAGGAAGGTTTCCATCTTTTTTTTTCCTTCCCTGTTCCGTTCTTGTTTTGTCTAATACTCGCAATTTAGTAGGTCACGTACAAATTTGTAGTAATGCATTTGTTCTTCAAGTGGACATATTATCAGTTTACTAGTTCTTCACTTAGCGAGCTCTAACAACTTGTAACCGTTTCAGGAGTCCTGCTTGTCACTGACGATATTTTCGTCTTACGGTCCACTAGTTTTTTTAGTTTGACATTCCCTTTCGTTTTTGTGTTGTCTAGAGCGACAAATCTCAATCTAGTTATTATTGCCGATATAAATTTAAAATTTAGAATTTTAACTAACACAAGGAAGTCTGTTTTTTTTTCTCCGTGATCAAACGTGCGCCTGGCGACATTATACTTCGATGTTGTTACAACAAACCTCGAGTTGAGGTATTTGCTATCAATTAACGCCCATAATTTGAATGTAGGTTCTGCCATTACTAATTTCGTTAATACTAATTCTTCGAATGAGATTCTCTTGCCCGCTCCAAGGTTGTGTATGTTATTTTGTGAGCTGTGAGTCTTGTGCCTCCATAATGAATTGATGAACAAAACGGCTTTTCTTAATTCCAGCAATTAATGCCCTGAACAATCGACTATTTCACAACGCTCGACTCTTTCAGGGCAATTCACCAGCTGAACATATTCTCAGTGTAACGCATGAAGCGCGGCTATTTCGTAATCAAGGCATATTTCATATCGGTTGGTCGTACCACACTCAATGCGTTAACTCGAAACCGCGCTTATCGCTCTAATCAAACAGAAGTTAGCGGTAAAGCACTTTATATCAGGCGCCATGTCTATGCTATGTCCTTTAATTATATCGAGGGTAATAAAGCAATATCCATCACAATATTATTTACATGAGCTGAACTACTCCTGAGGCCAACAATGGAAGACATCGTTTCAACACAGCTTCACCACGCCAATGCAATCGAATTGGCCCCCAGTTTTCTTGCATACGTAGTGAATAGCGATTATAAAAATTAATTCCCGCTTCGGAGAACTATTACGAAAAAAATTACCAAGTGTAGAAATCTCTCCGAAGATAATGTCAACAAGCATATTGATTAAGGCTGAGAATCCGTAGATTGAAAATCTACCACTTGTGTAACGCTGAATAAACATTTTTCCTATAATATGACATATTATGAGCAAAGCAAAGGACTTTCAATTAGGATGTTGCAGTCCGCATGTTGACTTCAACATCAACTCTGTGTACCGGCAAACAATCAAACAATTGCCTCCAAGGCTGGTTTGAGCCCAACAGTTCGGTAAGTCTGCAATTGTGTCGAACTAAATCATGGCCATTATATTAACATATTTGATCCTCGCAGAATTATGGATGGTAGAGCCTGACTGAAAGGTTCGACAAGAGACCTCCTCGACACTCCGTTAAATGGTCTTGAAAATGGTCATAATTAATTACCATTTAAATGGTCACAGGTGACAACAGAATTTCGTCATGTATAGGAAATTAAAAAACATTTTATGTATAAACATAAAATTTAAGAACTGGAGGAGTGTGTGTAAAGGGGTGCGACTTGCTCATCGCTGCCAGATCATGTTTAAGAAGTTGATCTTGCCAACAACATCATCTGATGAGTAGGGCTGTTTCAGAATATTTTGTGGACATTTTATGGAATTGTGGAAACTCTCTGCGACCACAGCAAAGTGATCAGAGTAGCGAGCAACGAATACACAAAAAAGGTATAATAATGTTAACATTACCATATTCTAAAAAAGATCTTCAGCGTATAGTGTTGAAAACTAAGACTAAACTTATGATAAAAAAGAAAACAAAAATTATAACAATCGAAATATAACTTCAGGTGATGATGCACTAGAAATCAAGTCGATAATGAACGGATTTGACGTCACAAAAAGAAAGTCAATATGTGCTTTACTAAATACGACAGTCCGCGCAGACCTCAGATTTGTGCGTTTCGTTGAATAATAATAATAATAATTGTGTGAACTATCCATGATAATACAGAACCTCGCCTAAACTTACTCTATATTCTGAATTCCTGCGACGAAGTGAATGGAACTAGCTAACAATTTCCTATTAGCTAGTAAACAAGTTCCTCACACCACAGACTGAATTTGTAATCTCATAGTTAAATCATAGGTAACTTAGTCTAAAATACCGTATCTGCAAAGCACGAAATTTATTAAAAGCCACAAGGAGGACAAACCTGTAACACAAAAAAAAAGCCACAAGGACAAACCTGTAACACAAAAATAAAACACAAGCTGAACAAACCTGAACACAAAAAAAAACACAAGATGAACAAACCTGTAACACAAAAAAAAACACTAAATGAAAACACCTATAACACAAAAAAAAAAAAACACAAGGACAAATCTGTAACACAAAAAATCCACAAGAAGGACAAACCTGTAACACAAAAAAAGCCACTAGACGAACAAACCTGTAACACCAGTTGTTATCTCCCCTCGCTTAAAATGCCTCGTACCCTACGGAACAACTGATTTCTAGAATCGATTTTAAATCTACCGTCCGTTGAAAAGATCTGATCAAAAGGCCAGTCTAGTCAAGAAAAGCACAAGAATCGGCGACAGGCCTATCCAGGCTTACTCTTTAATGCCGAAGATACTAAACTATACTACCACAACAACCACATTTCTGTCGCCCATATTTTTAAAGGAAACGTGCGGTTCACAGGCGGCCATTTCTTGCCACTCGCTCCGTCCGTCCCATCAACTCAATACTCGGCCGACAGCTGAGAGTCCCAGACAGGCTGTCCACACAATTCTTGAACTAATGTTATTAGTTCAATGAATTAGTACATGGATGAAGGGATGTATTATTTCAATACATACGTAAGTGTAATATTTCATGGTCGAGCTAATTTATCTAATGTATCAGTACAATACACAAGTATAATATCTTATGGTTGAACTAATGTATTAGTTCAACCATGACAGATGTTTGTTGAACTAATGTATTGGTTCAACCAGGAAAGATGTTGTTTGAACAGATTTATTAGTTCAATACATTAGTTCATGGTAGATTTAAAATATTACTTCATGCATGGTCCACACATTCCATGATACGAGGCCCTCCAAAGAAACTTGGAGTTCAACTCCGTGTTTGAAATACATTGTTTTTAGGCCCAAAATACCATGACGGGGAATGTTGCTTATAAAATAACTGTTGTACTGATCAGTTGAGATGCAGACAAAGCATACACCGCATCAGCAGCATTTGATGCAGAATTAATAATATTATTTACATCAGATCAATAAACGAAATTACTTGGTTTTAAACTTTAGCAAGGGTTTGGAACCCATAATAATCAACGCCTAAAATAATAGGTTAAATACATCAATTCTGTTCATAACAGTAACTGAATAGTTATATAAATTATAAATTTGTACTTTAAACGAGATTAAATTACATGAAAATGTTTAGCTACAAACTCTTAACATCCCAAGTAACAACAGTAAATATAGTAAAATATTATGCGCAATTGCCATTATTATGCTCAGTTAATTTAGAATAGTTGCCATTATTAGCAATGACATAAGGACTTCTTATAAAAATTTGTGCTTGGATTAACTCGCGGATGTTGAGTAACTACGATAACAGATTGAAAAAGTCAACGCAAGAATTCATCTATGCCCACATGTGTAGTTATAATTATTCCATGTATGCAGAGTAATTGTCTTCAATATTATAATAAGGACAGCTACTTGGTATCTATGAGGTCAAATAGTGCTGCACTAACACACTTGACACATTCAAAAAGCAAGTAACAACAGTAAAAATAATATAATATTATGCGCAATGCCACGTTAATTTTTAATTGATATACGTATTAAATGTGATGTAATATTTTTCAAAAAATTGTTCAGTTGACAGAGCAACACAAAATTGTTCAGTTGATAGAGTAACACAAAATTGTTCAGTTGACAGAGTAACACAAAATTGTTCAGTTGATAGAGTAACACAAAATTGTTCAGTTGATAGAGTAACACAAAATTGTTCAGTTGACAGAGTAACACAAAATTGTTCAGTTGACAGAGTAACACAAAATTGTTCAGTTGATAGAGTAACACAAAAATGTTCGTCCCTTTACATTTAAAAATGTGACCTTTTAAATTTAAAATTATTAAATATCTAACAATACAACAACTAAGCACAGCATTACGCGCGTCAGGTGTCTGCACTCTTCATATAAAAGATAGCATATTTTATTCATCAAAGCTTGGTTATTGTTTAGTAACTGGCAATAAAATTAGTTTTGGTCCTTATTAAGGACCAAAAATGTTACATTAGAATTTTATTGCCGCTTACCAAACAATTTGTACTTCAAACAAGATTCAACAACATGAAAATGTTTAGCTACAAACTCTTAACATCTCGAAAAACAACAATAAATATAATAATATAAGCAATAATATTATGCGCAATAGCCTTTATTATGCTCAGTACCAGTAATTGTATTATTAGGCTCAGTAATTGTATTATGCTCAGTAATTTTTGTTATTATGCTCAGTATTATGCTCAGTAATTGTATTTTGCTCAGTAATTGTATTATGCTCAGTACTTTGTAATTACTAGCCATCATTAGCAATGACATAAGGACTTCTTATAACATTTTGTGCTTGGATTAAGTCGCGGATAACGAGTATCTACGATAACAGATTGTGAAAATTAACGCAAGAATTTCATCTATGCCCACGTGTGTGGTTATAATCATTAAAAATGTATAGTAATTGTCTTCAATATTGTAATAAGGACAGCTGCAGGTCAAATAGTGCTACACTAACATACTTGACACATTCAAAATGCAAACAAATAGTGAAGACTAACGAGTTGCTGTCTCACTGCTTAGAACCTAACGCTTGACAAACTTCAACAGTCTACCTACTCAACACACTCAACACTCACGTGCAAGCTACTAATATCTAGTTACTACTCAACACACTATTGCGCCAAACAACACCACACAGGCCCAATACTAGTCAACGCTGACTCCTAAGTCAGCTCTGACCACTAAGTCAACTCTGACCACTAAGTCAAATTTAACTACTAAGTCAATTCTTATTTTTAAGTCGATTCCGGCTCCTAAGTCAACTCTGACCACCGAGAGAACTTTGGTCACTAAATAAACTTAGACCACCAAGTCAACTTCGCCTAAAGCATCAGCAACTTGTAACCATCAGAGCTCGAAGTTTTCAAACTGCACGTAAATTACCATCAATTTTTCAGTGGCAATGGAGGATGAATTTTGAAGTCTGACCTCAAATATAAATATTGCCAGCATTTTTCAGATGAAAAATATGGTGTTATCTTGAATTCAATATGTATCGAGCGTAATTCGATGGCATATCAATAATTCGCCCCTAATCATAACTTTAATTATAGTTAGAGCGCTGGCGTTGAGATAGTTCAGAATGGGGAATGTTTCTTTGTATCCTTAACATGTGTTTCGTACGCAGGAGCCCCAGCCCACGCTGAAGCACCACCTTACTGTACCACCGCCTTCAGCCCCTGCAGGTAAGTCGTTCTCGTCACCAAGGTCCCACGGACCAGCCTGTAATTACCGCGCATCTGCCCTTAGTTAAGTAAGATGATGCACGATGTTATTGCTTTATTGTTGTCGCTGGTGGTGGTGCAGAGGCGGACAATCAGGAGTTGTATCTATGATCACATCCATTAGTTTCTTGAAGATCTCAATGATAAACTTGCCTCCTCTTAACTTCTTTAGTAAGACGTTAACCAGCCGTGTCAGAGAGCGCAGACTGCGTGGCAGGTCAAGACAGAGGGCGCAGACTGCGTGGCAGGTCAAGACAGAGAGCGCAGACTGCGTGGCAGGTCAAGGCAGACAACGCAGACTGCGTGGCAGGTCAATCAAAGTTTGCTGTTGTCCATAATTTCCTCGAACGCGTTCGTCTGTAAAACATTATTCATCAGATCACGTAGCGCGTAAGTTTAACCTTGTTTATGGCTTTACTCAATTAAAATATCGAACCGGTATAATTAAATGGGTTTAACTCATGATAGAAATAGAGTAATAACAAGCTATTATTATCAATATTAACGAGATTATTGTTCAATTATATTACGATTTGATTATACGATTTTCTGTAAGATTTAGTTTTTTTTTTGTAGTAAATGCTCTCTTTTTGATTATCAAACGGACGTAAGTCATGATAGAAATAGAGTAATAACAAGCTATTATTATCAATATTAATGTGATTATTGTTCAATGATTATTCGGAGGGAAAATATTATAAAGGGAATAATAGCATACCGAGTCGTTATGAAGGAGCCCTCGCTGCCTGACATCAGCAAGGCAGGACAGCTTGTCAGCGTCAGGAGGCTTCCTCCTACAGCACGGCGTCAGCAGCAGCTCATCCACGTCTGCGTCAGCGGCTCCTGACATACAGCGCGTGACCAGCGTCAGCAGTACCGCTGTCACGTATGTGCTCATGAAACCTGACGGTTGATAAGGAGGATTAAGGATGATTTTGCCGAGTACGTTAGTAAATCATTACGTTATTGGATAATTATTATTAGATAATCTTAGATAATTAAATTAGATAATCATTATGTTATTAGATAACAGCGCGTGACCAGCGTCAGCAGTATCGCTGTCACGTACGTGCTCATGAAACCAGACGGTTATAACGAGGATTAAGTTAGTAAATAATTACGTTATTAGATAATTAGTTAAATAACATTGGAGTCTCTATGCAAATATTGGAGCAAACGTTGGAAACATTTGAACAAACATTGGGTGACTCGTAAAAAAAACAAATTGCAGCAAACATCTAGGAAACGAATGTTAAGAATAAAGAAAAAATGCCGCAAATAAATTCGCTAATAGCTTGCGGATAACAGCAATAAATTATACAGAAACTTGTATTGCTTTTAAATTTAAGAAGCGGAAGGTTATATATTAAAGATATACCGTATATTATGCACTTATTAAAGGTTGTTGGAAGTATCAACATTTCGCATCTCTTTGTTAACGGATACCTACATTAAACGAACGTTGTCAATGACATTCGTACCTAAATACTGGTAACGGGATATACCGTCAGTAGAGATAAAGATGATAAATAAGAGATAAATTAAAAATAGAGAGATAAATTAAAGATGTCGGAATTCTCTAAGATTTATCAGAAAGTTAACACGTTGACTACGAAGTGGTACATATGCGTACCACGAAATGTATTTCTCCAGAACGTAGTGGTACATAATTCAGGTTGCCTAAACTCGGCCAAATCCGAGAACAAAAAAGGCCAATAACTCAATATATACTAGTTTATTTGTAGATTCCGCTTTAAAAATTACATTTATATTATTTTTGCAGTATTTAAAATTTGATTAGGAAGTACCCCTATCATAAATTTTAGCCGGCCAACGCAATTGAGAAAAACTAAATCACGGAATTTGTCCGGAAAAAATGATCGTCTGGCAACCCTGTTTAAAAACAGTACAAAAAATGAAATAATAGTACAAGATGAAGCAATCGGAGTCAACGTGTTAAAAGATGTTACGTACAAATGTACGAGCAAGACTAACCGATAGTGCCGATCCAGGCGTAGGAGACCGCGTAGAGCTCGTGTAGGGGGCTACTGGCCCCACCAGAGGGGCTACTAGCTCCACTAGGGTCCCCTGCCTCCCCAGTGGTATTGGGGGTCAGCCCTATGGACGAGGGCTTCCTGACATCAGTGACGTTATCCTTGGTCATCCTTGCTGTCTTGTCAGCTATACTGGCATGTCTGGTGTCAGCCGACCACCGTCCATCAGCACTGGTGTCAGCCGACCACCGTCCATCAGCACTGGTGTCAGCCAGCGGCGGCACGGTGAGCAAGAAGCTGACATTGCGGCCAGTGCTGATGTCAGCACAGCCCTCGATGGATCTGGGCTTGTAGGACGGAGAGGGCTTGGGCTGACCGAACCCGATCCATAAACTGAGCCCCAAGCCCACGACGAGCCCCATCACGGCGCCCTGCGGCAGAGGGGAGGGCTTCATTACCAACATGGCGGGTTAACTCTCATCATCGTCCTAATTATTGATTAGTAAACTATTATCATCATCATCGTAATGATTGATTGTTAAATTATCATCAACGTCTTAATCATTACTTACTAAATCATTATCATCATACTAATCATTGCTTATTAAATTATTATCATCGTAAAAGTTATTGATTATTAATTATTAAACCCCACCGCCAGCCCTCCACCCCTCCACCCCCAGCCCACCCTCTGGCCCACACTGCGTGTGGTCATGCCCAGCGTGAAGAGCCCCAGGAGAGGCCCCCCCACGGCCCCAAACACCGTCAGCGACGCCTGCAGCACACCTGCGCCCAGCGAGGCCGTCACGAACGCCAGCCCTGCACGCATAAACTTTATTTAATTTATACACTAACTTTCTTTAATGCACACACAAACTTTCTTTAATGTACGCTTAAAACGTAGTAGAATTATGAAGTGCAATTAAAGATGCAAATGATCAGGGGCCGTACTATCAAAACCCGCTTAGCACAAGTAGCTGCCAAAGTCAAAAAGCTTCTGGAATTTTCATCAATGAACTCTTTTTAGACGCATTTTCTCATTTATGGAAAAAATGCACTATTGTGCTCGCAATGTCCGTCTGTCTGTCCGTCCGCGACTTCATGTTTTTGTCGACGAGAAAATGCGCTCTCTGTCACTCACTGCAGTGAATACTGAGTTATATTTTTTCGTATTTGCTGGACGAGTTTACAAAGAAATTGATGATTTGGGCGTTGGTTCTTTCCATGGTATTCTAAGGAGGATGGTGGCTGATGAGAACATTAGCAAGAATGAAGAACTGACAAAAAATGTATACTCTTCACTAGAAAATGAGTTTGAAAAATGGGTAGCAATCGACCCATGCAAAATTCGATTAAATGACAGACAGTCGAACGAAATGATATTTTCCATTGATGTCGAGTTATAACTCTAATGTCATAACTGACCTACCAGGAAAATTTGCATCTTCCTCTACAATAATTCTTCCTACAATAATTTTTTCCTCATGAAGCATTTGTATGCCTAATGTCAACAGACTGAAGCAGCGGGAGGCGTGGAGGCATGTAAATAAAACATAGATTTTTAATCAAAAATAACTCTCCAGAGCCTGAACTAACGGCAATAAGTATATTGTTCGGTAATAAAGCATTTATAAGGCTAACATCACCAGACCGATGCAGAGGGCACCGTATAAACAAACGGCAATAAGTCAATTGTTCTATAATAAAGCATTTATAAGGCTAACATCACCAGACCGATGCAGAGGGCGCCGTATAAACTAACGGCAATAAGTAAATTGTTCTATAATAAAGCATTTATAAGGCTAACATCACCAGACCGATGCAGAGGGCACCGTATAAACAAACGGCAATAAGTCAATTGTTCTATAATAAAGCATTTATAAGGCTAACATCACCAGACCGATGCAGAGGGCGCCGTATAAACAAACGGCAATAAGTATATTGTTCTATAATAAAGCATTTATAAGGCTAACATCACCAGACCGATGCAGAGGGC